TCCACGTCTAAAATGTCTTTTTTCTTTGTTACAGCACATATGAATGTTAAAGAAAATAACTCTCAATGGGTCAAAATGTGGTTGTGACAGGAATCACACAAGCTTAAAACATACCTCGTTTTCATGTGAACTTCCAATCACATAAAAGAAGAGGTCAATGTTGCTCTTGTAGACAACAGTGAGGCCTTCGAGTAATGCTATCTCACCTTGTGACACACATAGTAAACATATATTCCCCTCATAATCTAAACAGGCAAAATGTGCTTAATTTCTTTACATTGTAAATAGCATGGTGTCTCTTACTGTCTGTCCTGTGTGTTTTGTTGAATATGTTCTTCTCAAACGCTTTCTGTTCCTTCACTGTGGGGTATGTGTCATCATAATACTGTAGATACATGGAAATGGGTGTAATTATTGCGCAACCAATAGAACTGTCAAATTTTAAAGCAATAAATTATGTACATAATTTACTCCACCATACCTTGGCATACAGTCTGTCTCCATCATTGTCCAGAATAAGAATTGCCTTCACGGTGTACAAAGATGGTTCCTGTTTTAAACAACACATCGTTACAAACAATAAAATACATTTGAGAGTTTAACAATAGCTGGTTGTGTCACTTCTACTAGTGGAGACGTAAACAAGTGCCAATTATTCCGGAACGACACAATGGTAAAAATAGCGAAAAAGGAGGACAAAGAATTTGAAACAACCATATAATAGCATATTGTAGCCCATTGCTCTGGGAAACGGGTGAAAACTGGACACGTCCACATCACCAGAAGCCACGAAAGTCAAGCTAACCAGCCGGAAGCTAACTATTTGACCAACAGTTTGTTCCATTTAGCTCTTGTAAAGCAAACGAACCAACGCGGTCTCTTTGTTGGCAATAATATTACACGGCCTAGTTAGAAACCGAAAGCTTCTTCGACACAGCGACGGTGTCAAAACTAAAATAAGAAGCTCCATTACCAATATGGTAGTATCCATCTTGTTTCTTGTTAGCGAAGCCTCTGTAGTAGACCTTCCGGAACTCACGTGACAGGTTCCAGTGCGTAAGGCTCTTTTCTATTGGCTGGCGCAGCTTCCGCACAAGCAGGAAACAGGAAGTCACATAAGCGAAGGAGTATTCTTGCAAAATTAAATCACCCAGCAGTCTTCTTCCCCAAAAAGCACAAGTAACGAATGTAGCAATTTGTTTGTTTGTTTGTTTGTTTGTTTGTTTGTTTGTTTGTTTATTTTAAGGGGTGGTGGGGGGCCTTTATGAATTTGAATGAGCGAGTCAAACGCAAAACCGCATGCATTTCCTTTAAAAGGACACTAAATGATTTTCTGTTTGTCACGCATTCAGAAAAGCACTCCGTTAATCTGGAACGCTGCAGCGAAGCCTTGTTTATTGCTAAAGGTACTTGGTACGTACTTTTAAACAGTTCAGAAACCACAGTTGAAACCAAACAAATACAAACGTACAGCACAAATATGAATAAATCAAACATTTACATTAAAAAAAATCATAAAAAGTTCTTGATGAGCAAACTAGTATATATCCATCCAAACATTTTCAACACCGTTTATCCTGAACAGGGTCACGGGCAGTGCTGGAGCCTATCCTAGCTGACTTGGGGCAGAAGGTAGACAACACCCTGAACTGGTTGCCAGCCAGTCGCAGGGCACCTGTAAAGTTAGTTCTTTTACCAACTGATGGCACAGCATCAAAAGCACCTGGCACTTCAGTATTTTGCTCATGGTCACTTGAACATGATCACAATTTCTGGGTTAGGAGACAACCACTCTACCACTGAGCCATGAGTTATGATCCGAAATAAGAGTCTTTTGTAAATCAGGACCCATGGATCCCAAGCCAATCTGCAATAAACAAGCAATTGTAGTGTTTCCCAACCACTATATTATGTTTAACTTCACTTAATTTGTCTGAAAATTATAATTTATTTACTGCAATAATATATTTTTGAGGTGGCTCGGGATCTGATTAGGATGCCTCCTGGATGCATCGCTGGTGAGGTGTTCCGGGCATGTCCCACTGGCAGGAGGCCCCGGGGACGACCCAGGACACACGTGAGAGACCGTCTCCCAGCTGGCCTGGGTACGCCTTGGGATTCCCCGGGAAGCGCTGGAAGAAGTGGCTGGGGAGAGGGAAGTCTGGGCTTCCCTGCTAAAGCTGCTGCCCCTGCGACCCGACCCTGAATAAGCGTTAGAAAATGGATGGATAGATGGATGGATATATTTTTGTTCATCTATCTGTGCCAGCAACTTACAGGGACAGGCAGAACAATTAAAAAGCCTTCCACGAGATGGCAGATGGTACAGTTAACCTGCGAGTTACTATTTACATGACAGAATAACGGTTTTGTGCTCAACGAAACAGCCCCAAATTTGTGAGTAAATTGAGACAGCATCATGATTATTTCTGGACACGGTAAAGATATTTCTGGGGGGGGGCAATGAGATTTTGATTTTTCTAAGGTAAAATATGTATCAACAAAGCTTGAGAAAAAGAGAGCCATTGTTTTAATAAATTATAGGAATGAAGGAGGGACAAGTAAGATACAAATCAACAACAGTGTGATATCACATGACCTTTGTGTGAATAAAAGACCCATCCATCTATCCATTTTCTAATCTGTTTATCCTCACAAGGGTCGCTGGGGGTGCTGGAGCCGATCCGAGCTGTCTTCGGGCAGTAGGCAGGGGACAACCGGAACCGGTTGCCAGCCAAATGCAACAACCATCCACGCTCACACTCACACCAAGGGACAATTTAGAGTGTTCAATCAGCCTGCCATGCATGTTTGTGGAAAGTGGAAGGAAACTTGAGGCACGCAGGCACGGGGAGAACATGCGAACTCCATACAGGAAGGCTGGAGCTGGAATCGAACCCTGCACCTCTGCACTGTGAGGTCGACATGCTCACCAATCGCCCACCATGCCGCCCTGAATATAAGGCAATTCTGTAAATGTGTTACAATTGTAAATGTTAAAATATCTTCAAAAATACAATGACTTCGACACAAAGTTGCATCACTGACATGTTTTCAATTTCCAAATCGGACAGAGAAATTTTTTTGGTGGAAGGATTACATGTGGACCACATTGGTCTGCTTCTGCTCATCTTTTTTCTTTTACTTTTTTTTTTTTTTTTCAATACCCTCCTACATTCAACCAACTCCAATTATCCTACCTCCCACTTCTGGGAAGCATTGGGGAAACCAGGCCAATGGGGTTTTCCCTCTATCTCGCTCTATAAATGACATCACAGTTTGGCCAGACTGTGAGATATTTTAAGTTCAGCGTTTTAAAAAAACAAAACAAAAACATAGCTGTGTATCGTGGTGAAGGCAACAGTACAGTATTGTTTTATTGCAAGGAACACATAAGTATTTGAATTCAAAACAACATTGCGGGCTACAATGACGGTTCAAAATGTTTTTTAAAGTTAAACCGCGGATTTCAAATTTGTATAGTAAGTCAATGATTCCCAACCAAAGTTGGGTGACGAGTGCCAGCGAGTGGGACGCAAAACAATTAAAATTTTACAACTGTGGACCGCAAGGGCCACGGAGCAACGTATTTGACCATTCAAATAAATACATATGACTGTAGCTGTCTGTTGCTGTTGCCAAGGAGATGCTCAGTTACAATTCGGATTCCTGCCACTCCATTTCACACAAAATAAAGGTCAACACAAATCATAATTTGTGGATGTGGGCCCAGGAAAAGTTAGGCCCCAAGGTCAAAAAGGCTTTTAACCCCTGCAACTCCCTGATGAAATACCGTATAACGTCCATTTAACATTTGCTGATTTGGAAAATGGATGGATGAATGAAAATTCCGATGAATGCATAGATTTTAAACATATATGGGTCATTCCAGAATTGAAGGACATTTTACGTCCCACCCATCAAAAATTAAAAAATAATGAAAATAGTAAAACATGACTAATAAGTGTTTTTTCACATTTTCATAAAATAGTTACCCTTGATTGGATTTCTCATTCTACCATGATTTTACCGTGTGTGTGTGTGTGTGTGTGTGTGTGTGTGTGTGTGTGTGTGTGTGTGTGTGTGTGTGTGTGTGTTGCCTGTGTGAGTTTTCTCCAGGTACTCCGGTTTTCTCCCACATTCCAAAAGCATGCATGGCAGGCTGATTGAACACTCTAAATTGTCCCTAGGTGTGAGTGTGGGCGTGGATGGTTGTTCCTCTCTGTGTGCCCATTGATTGGCTGGCAACCAGTTCAGGGTGTCCCCCCGCCTCCTGCCCGAAGACAGCTGTGTGGGGGTTTCTTGTATATACAGGGAGAACATTCACCTCTGCACTGTGAGGTCAACGCGCTAACCACTGGGCCGCTCTCTCTCTCTCTCTCTCTCTCTCTCTCTCTCTCTCTCTCTCTCTCTCTCTCTCTCTCTCTCTCTCTCTCTCTCTCTCTCTACATATACAGTATGTAGGGACACTACACTACATATACACGCATGTACAGTATGTAGGGACACTACACTACATATACTGTATGTAGAGAGAGAAAGAGAGAGAGAGAGACAGAGAGAGAGAGAGAGAGAGAGAGAGAGAGAGAGAGAGAGAGAGAGAGAGAGAGAGAGAGAGAGAGAGACAACAATGGTGTGATCTTTCACACAGTACATCTTTGAAACAATTAATTACGTGGTCTGACAATTATGAAGTGAGCTGTTGTGCTTGTTGATGAAGAATAATAAATACAGAATGACGTTAGCCTCATTGTCATCACCTTGTGCCAGCATAACCACAAGTTTCTTAGTTCCTTCCTTCAAATCAAGAGTTCATTTTATCAGCATTAAGCAGAACGTCCGCTAAGCAACATCCTCCTTTCCCTGCCTTCACTCTTCATCGCTGCACACAAGTATTCCACATGCATTACACGTATTCTTCTACATACTGTACATAGATATCTAATGTTATTTTCAATGTATTTATTGTGTTCTCAGAATAATAATTGCACACAGTCAAGTTCACCCAAACATGATTACAGTAATCATATTTTTAATGCTCTTGCTTCAATACAGCAACAACATAAGAAATAGAACAAAAGGAAATGTGAGCTTTAAATGAAGAGCTTTGCACTTTGCAGGTATCAAAAAAAAAGGAGCAGCAGCTGAATTGGCCACTGGCATTTACAGTAGCCTAGACTTGAATTCCAAAACATTTGGCAACAAGCTTGTCGACAACATGATGGTTTCACATCAACAGAAGTCAAGAATATTCTACATGGAGACAGTAAATGTGTCATTATAAACATTTACAATCAAGAGGAGCACAAAGGCGTAAAGCACTGAAGATTCAAAGCATTCAAGAATAAGAAAGCAAGATTTGACTTTTACAAAAAAAAAATCAGCAACGCTTGAGATGAAACCAAAGGCAATTTGGATTTGAATAATTGCATGCAATATGGAGAAGGTTCATGATCCAAAGCATACCACAGCATCCATCAAAAATGGTGGCGGTAGTGTTATGGCATGTGCATACTGTGGCTGGTACGGTGATGATGTGATAAAATAAATGGGCAGTCAAGCTCTTTCCTCGATTATTCTCATTGTTAACTGATTGGATAATGCTTTGTAGATTGATACTAAGGTATCATGGGCATTTACAATTGTGGCAGTTGATCTACTTGGCGCTAAATGTCGTAAATTCCCCAAAAAGTAAATGGCAATTTTTGGGGCGAAACCTTTGAAATCAAACCTGAAAGTCCAAACTCAAATCGTGTTTTCTTTCAATTCCATTGGGTGGAAACACGCAAAAAGCTCACAATTGGGTGGGTGTTTCTAATTGTAGATAAGATCAACCAACTATAAGAATTACGAAATCTTAAAGTTGTTGCAAACCATTATCTTGATCGAAACACATTGAAATAGATGCAGGCTATCTTGGGACGTTCAGCGAACTGTAGCTGAAGGTTCCTCATTTGCTGCCACTGGAGTTGTGATGTGTGAAAACCATACATGACAGATATTCTCAGAAACAAAAGAGAAAGACTCCTTTTAAGGTAACCCCACTCAGTTCACTCATATACATATACATTACAGGATCCATGTTTCTTGTCAGCCAATTTGTACACAAGCAGCAACGAGACATGCCTATTTATTCTCAGCAGTGAGCACATTTTAAAGAAAAAAAAAGCTGACAGGCAAACGGGAACTCAGAGATGCTTTTTTTTTATATAATAATTGAAGCAAACAAACAAAAGAAGGCGGGTGGGCGGTGACCTGGGAACTGTGTCCATATGTCCATATCCAAAAGTGCTGAGTGAGGTCACGGTAATAACATGGTTGTGTTGGCGGCTTGTGGTGCCGGTGGTTGAGTCAGGGGCTTGGTGTGAGGAAAGCTGGGAAGTACTTGGGAAGTCCCTTCCTTGATTCCTGGTACATGTTCACCTTGCTTGACTCTGTCAGACGCCTACATCGTAAAGTTTTGAACAATTAAAAGATATTTTGTGACATATCTGCAAATGCAGAGACTCTCTTAAGTCGTAGTACTGGCATGTGATTTATTTCATGAAACGTTCAAAGCACATGTTTAGCACAGTGTTATAATAATCATCATATTATTAAAATAATAATAATATGATGATTATTATTATTGCTGTTATTTTTTGTATGATTCTGTGTGTTTTTCTCATGTTAAAGCATTTATATGCGTTTATACTTCTGCATTAAATGTATACCTGTGGCCAATACAGTTTGACTACAGAATGTTTCAAGTACAATACAGTATTTACTTTCCTTGTATTTGTTGTAAAAGATCAATGAGCAAGAAAAAGAAATGAGAAAGTCTGAGAAAAAATGTTGTGTGTACTTGAATACTAAATTACATCTGTCCCAGCCATTCATTTTCTTCTGCTGATCCGAGGTTGGGTTGCCACCTCATCTGCCTTCTCTCTCAACTCGCCTTATCTCTCATGGAGAGCGAGCCGGAACCGCATTTCGGCCACTTCTAACCGGGATCTTGTTCTTTTGCTCCTAACTTTGAAAGTGCATATTTAGCATTTCTCTGTTTTAAAATGGCCTTGGATTTACTGTTAGCGTACACATGCTGCTGGGCACAAAAGAAAATGCGGCGAAATGAAAATAAATCATTCACATAATTTGCTTGCACAAGTCTGAACTAATCACATTCAAGCTCGCGTTAAATGGTCGTCAGGACACAAATGCCAGCATTTTAAGTGCCTCTGATTAACCCCAAATGAAGTCCAGCTGCTCCGGTAGGCTTTTCCTGACATTTTTGTGCTTTCTATTGCAGATTTTTCTTTGACCTGTACTGACGTTGGCTGGTGGCGCATCACCTTTTTGTCAATTGGGTTGTACAGGTTGATTGTCTCATTGTTTTTCCATCACAAAAAACGGACATTTGAACGGGGATGTGTTGGCTTTTTATCTCGTATCCACCCTTTGAAACATATACACGCTGAACATGTCACCAGACAATGGAAGCAAGGCACATATTGGCAAACAACAATTATGGACCTTTAAGACTCTTTAGTGAACCTACCATGCCTGTTTTTGAAATGTCTCAGATCGCTGCAGTGTCTGAAGAAAATTTTGTAAGCATGCGGAGAACAGGCAAACTCCACAAAGGGGTCATATCGGCTGTCCATGCCTCACCTCTCGTCTCCGGAGGAGACTCCGTTTATTTAAGCAGGAAATACTGAATTTTCTGCCATTTTTACTCTAAAAAGGGTCAAAATACATTAAGAAACACACCAAAAAAGGACAGAGGAGAAATATTAATAAATGTGTGATTTGATTATTTCGTTTCTTTTTCCTCTCATGATAACAGTGGAGGCACAGCCTCACCTGCCTCCCCTGACCGCACGTCACTGAACCCATAACCTCTTAATTGTAGCGCAGACATTCTAACTGCTAGTGCACGATTCCCATCAATCCTAGTCAGTTGTGATTGCTGTCACAGAGCATTTCTGCTGCACATTACAATCAGGGTAAAATATTGTTTTGCTTTTGCTAAAGGAATGGTTACTATGTAAGACACAGTGTCCTCCCTTCTCTCCCTTGTCCTCACTCTCACTTTGCCTTGATGCTTTGCTTGCTTGCTCTGCCGGGTAGAGGAACAATGTGGTCTTTCTTACGTGTCTCAGGGTGTACATTCCATTTGTACTCAACTCAGTCTCCATCTCACACCCCCCTGCTCAAAGAAGTCTTCTTCTGACTCCAGGTGTTCCACGCCACTCAACTCCTACCATTGGTTTGGGAGGATTGGAAAGGACACCGCTCTTTGGTCGCATTTGTTTTTTGTCATTATTATGTTGTCATCACACGAGTGGGATCCTTATTGCTCACATATCTGGGCAGGATTTGCAAAGCTCCCTTGAGTGCAGTGCCTGAATCATTGACGTGGTTCATGCCAGACTGTTGGTTTGTGGTTTGTCTTGTGGGCAAAGGGGAAATTTGGAGGTTGGGGTGCAAGCGTGCTATTAAGGACGCAAGAACTACTTTAGGGGAACATTGCCTTTGAGTGCTCAGAGCCGTCCCACTTTTGCTTGTGGCACAGTGCGCCGCTGAACAAAGACAGACAAACAGGCACTTTGGATAGGAAATACCGCATCTGAGGAGTCCCACTTTTGTGCGAGTCAAACAGAGTCCAGAACAAGATGGTGCTGATCCTCTGACATGTTCACCAGCTGAAGACATACATATACACAATGTGGCTCAGGTATGTTGACTCACACTTTGACACACTTCCTATTGGAAAATAATCCTAGTCATTTCACAACTAAATATGACTTACTGTGTTGCTTGATGTGAGATGACCGGACTTTTTTGCATGTCCATTTTTAGTAATTGCTTGATAGCTTTTTTTACTAATGAAAGTCACCAAGTAATTTCAATGCGACCTTTTGTATTTATTTCTGCATAATTTTCAGGCATTTTTTGGGAAGCGGTTTCACAATATGCAGCACTGCCATTATTTATGACAATAAAATGGCAGTGTATAATTTTAAAACATATTTTGCTCAATGACTTATCTACCAGTCATGCGGTCTATGAAACATTCAAAGTTCCTTTAATAAAGCTTTCCCAAAAGGCTTCAGCCGTTTATTTACAAGCAAAAACATGAGCCAATTAAAACCCGAAATAGGATTTGACAGCAAGTGACCAATGCCGATCACTGATCATTTACATTCCATTCAAATGTAACTGCACTAACCATACGCAATCGAACAGGTGGGAGACAAGTCATTTCCATGCTCCAGTTTTGGCAACGTGGCGGCCTAGTATGAAACGTTTTACTCAAACGTACAGTAAATAGCAAGGCTATGCAAATGTGTAAAACAACAGCCAAGAATCTCGACATATTGTATTCCGATGATAGTTAGTGTACAAGGGCCCCAGTGTTCCAAGAAATGTACGCACACTTCCATCAGACCGCCGCCGGTCTTGCAGAATATGCTGTTTCCCTGCAGATTGTCTTATCACTGGTTGGCACAGCTGATGGGCGGAGCCAACTGCTCAGGAACCTTAATGTGTTCCAAAAAGCCTTCACCAAAATGAAACGACCAGAAATGAGCATGCCTGATCCTCAATAAAGAGTAGACGGGGCGACATGGCACTGTTAACTTTGCGGCAATTGTTATTTTTGAGTATGTCCACATCCTAAATCTGTAGTATGTGCACAGGCAGATTAGTTGATGATAATTGGATATTAAATGAAAACTGAATCCTTACAAGGTTGAACTCCTGGAACAAGTGCGTGTCCTAAATGTGTTCAACAGCCAACTACGTGCTCCCACCAAGCAGAACCTGTGAGGTAGGTTTGTCAAAGACCTTTACAGCCCGGCTTGCACTGTCCAGCATTTACAATGACTTTTTTTTTTTTTTTTTTTTGCTCTGTTTCAAGGTATTAGCCTGCCCCTCGAGCAGGGTGTGCTGGGGAGTGCCTGCTAATCACCTCGGGGGTAGATCTCATGGAGCTCAACACTCAGACATGGACGCAGCCTGGCAAGAACTGATGGCCATAACAGAACTGCAGGTATCTGCACAAGAATTTTTACGGCCACGTTTATTTGTTGCATGAAGCTTTTGCTTGTGAATGCTGCTCCCAAGTGTAAGGACAGTATATTTCCTGGAAATCTGAGAGTTCTCCGGGTGTTAAATGAGAAAAAAACCTCAACGTCATCTTGGATGTTGTTGTTTTCAAAGGACTCGACTTCCATCACTTTCTCTATCGTGCTTTGTCCCACTGAATTGTCATTTTTCAGTTTTACTGGGGAAATACACTGTACGCATATTGATAGGATCCTAGTATATCACGTACGCTACTCACAAAAAGTTGGAAAGATTCAGTTTTGTGTCAAGTTTCAGGCTGAACCTAAAATGCAATGTAACCTTGACAGGGGAGCCTAATTTGGCCTTCTGTGACATTTTGAGCGCACATCCAACTAGCAGAGATTGCGGTATGTTTTGCGCAACTTTATGTTGTCTAACGAGAACCTGAACTGCAAAATTGACAACAGGTGTTTGATTCATAAATCGACCGATACATTTCCCAGGATGTTCACTTCTATGCCTTTCTGTGACTCTACCAGTCTTTCTGTTGCAAACAGCTGATGACAGACCAAGAATATTGAAGCTCAGTGGCTTCTCCCTGTTGAGAACAGGTCAATTGTCGGGTGTCATCTTTGTCTCATGATGACAAAATGCGAACAGCATGATTAAGACGACCGCTTACAAATCACTTTCAATTGAAGCAGGAACTGTATTGGTCCCCAGTGGTCATTGCTCTTGTTATTTTGGTGCTCAGATCATTTTTAGAAAATGGGAAGTTGTGCACAAACTACTGAAACATTGTTGGACAGTTTCAAAATTCGAAATTTTGAGGTCAAACTAAGTTTCCCTGTTAAGGCTGCAGCCACTACATTTTAGGTCCATCCTGAAATTTCACCCAGAATTGCAAACGCAGTGGTGGCCAAACTTTTTCCTCTGAGGGCGGCCTATGGGAAATTTGAAGGCCGCTTTGCAATTCTTTAACTTGTAATTTAGGAACCATGAAAAACCAATCCATCAAGCAAATATATATTGTTGATACAGTGGTTCCTTGACATGTGAGTACTCCAAAAAAGTTTTGAGATACAAAGATGTTGACTTTGGTCTTGACTTGTGAGCAGCGACTTGGGGTATGAGTGCACTTCAGAAGCCCTACCTCTCCAGTGAAATGAAAAAAAACCCCAAAAACAAATAATGTGTAAAACCTGGAACAAATTGGTGTCCAAACAGATTTTTCGGACACGTAGGCTGGGTTGCACCAACCAGGTTTAATTTGATCTAAGATTAGCTCTAATCAGAGATGACTAAAACCAAGTTTAAAATGAGTTCATCTGTTTTTTTTTTTTTAATTCAAACTGATTAATAAACTTTTATCTCACCCAAATTTCCCCTTCCTCATAAAATTCAAGAAGATTGACCCTGTCTACCAAATTATTGACTTTTTGCTGTAATGCGCCCAAAAAAAAATATGCACCCGTCAGTTGAGAATTAATACTCGATCACAGTTTAAACTTGAGTTTAAAGTTCTGGTGCCACAGAATTACATTTAAACATGGTTTGGGAGTACAAATTAAATTGAGGTTTAAATGTAATCTGTTTTACGGTATTTTAGACAAGGTATAAAGTTTGGTGCAACAGAACTCAAACCATGATTGAATTTAGTGCTTTTGTTAAAACTTGGTGCCATATTGTTGAGTTTGCAAACTGTGCTTTCTGATATGTACTGTGTGCAGACCACTCAGTTGTGCTTTCTCTCACACATAAGGGAAACAGCATTCGCTGCATGCATCACATATTTGAGGTATCTGTCACTTCAATATGGCTTCCAAGAAAGTGAAAAGTGCAAGTGATTGCGCCATTAAAAAGCTGATGTTTTTGGAAGATATTGAGGGAGCTACTGGACAACTGCAGCAGCAGCTGGTGAGGGTGGCATGGAGATAGTGGAGATGTACAAGGAGTGATCAATGGCACTCGCCATTTGAAAGGCAATACATACAAACCTACTACAGTACACTGTGTGTGTGGCATTTGGCTTCATTTGAAGAAAAAGAATAATATTTTTTTGGATTATGCACGTACAAATATGCACAAATTTTGACCTCTGCACTTGGCCAATAGCAGTAGACACGGCAAACACACACTCTTCGTGGTACGTGCTGGAACAGGTACGGCTGCCATTTATGGAGCAGTTCGGTGTATTCGTGTCTTGCACAAGAAGACCACAGCCGTGTGTCTGGAGGGTGTTGAGTGTGGATGGTCTTGATGCCGGTTTCTCCAGTGGCAAGAAACGGTTTTAATTACCATTTCTTCACAACCAATTAATGGCATGGAAATTCATTTCACTGTAGAAAGCCTGAGATAACTGGTTTGAGTTAGGGGTGGAGTTGCAGAACAAATGATATTTGTGAGTCAAGGCACCACTGTGTATTTTTATTATAGCTATCTTGGAGAAAACTGTTGTTAAATATCGTTAAAGGCTAAAAGCTAAATATTTTCAGGTCTGTCTGAGGATATGGGGGTGGCTCGCCCCCCTGCATCGCGTTATAATAGATCCGCCCTGCTGTGAGGAACAATTCAATTCTTCAGCTCTATATTCAGATCCAAAACAAGACCAAACTGTAGAAAGGCAATTTCTAAAGAAGTGGTTGCTTTATGATTATTAATATAGGTTCAGAAAGCAGACCTTGACATGGAGCAGAAAGTGGAGCAAACCATATTTGCATACAAAACTGAATTATCTTTATTTACCACTGTGAAGCAAAAAATATATCCTTGATCCCCCGTCCCTCCATCATCTTTAATTTCAATGCAAGTCACATCTAACATGACTCACAGACTGCTTAAAAAAAATAAAAATAAATAAAAAAAAACAAATGTCCACCAGGCCATGATTTGGACACCCCCCTGCCCTAACTCTTTGAGTTTTGTATATAATTTCCCAGTTAAAAATGTATCATTCGTAAATCAAATTCACAGATCACTTCATTATTGGTGAATTGCTGTTATTGTTGTTGCAGGGTTTAGAGACATGTGGTGAAAGTTCCTATGAAACAAAACAATACCAAAGCATTGAGCCAGCGGCTTCTCTGGGCATGTACGAGGCTGCCCACTGCCACCCTGAGCCCACCCCTGCTGCGTTTGATGTGGGCACAATGGATGAATACGATGGTGGTTACTCTGAAGAAGCCGCAGGCTGTCACAGACGAGGCACCAATGCAGCGTCCCTCTACGAGAATTCAGGACCACAACTCAACCAAAGAATGGTGTCCATCTCATCGGACGCCCACCAATCGACTGCGGTTCTCACAGGGCAGATGAGCTCACCTGGTGCCAGTCAAGGTGACAGTAGGCCCAACAGCAGTCTTCCTCGGGGTGCTGGGCCTCACATGATGTGGACAGTACACGGCCATAGTTCATTTGCTCATTCTGCCGACGACCTAGAGTCGGACTCTGGCCTCTCGCTGGGCTCCAGTCCACCATTGGCCTCACCGGGAAACTTGGCCGCTGGCGTACCAGGTTACAGGAGTGCGGACATGTCTGTTGCATGCAGTGATGGGGAACCAGAAGGCATGGTGGAACACAGAAGAGCACACAACTACCAGACTGAATACCAGAGTCACTCCGACTCCTATCTGCAAAGAGGAGCACAACCATCTTATTTCACAACCCAACACCACTTGAGCCATTCACATTTCGATGCACCGAATCCTCGGGCAACCAAACATCAGACTATGGGTGAACTCCACAGCTCAGCATTTTCCAGCAGAGGGAGCTGGCAAAACAGCATGCATTCAAAATCTTATGGAAACCCCCAGGCACCAGCCAGCAGGGATGAGAGGCGGGCCATAGCACTGAAGATCCCCTTCACAATGGAAAAGATCATCAATCTGCCAGTGGATGACTTCAACGAGCTCCTCACGCAGCACACCTTGACTGATGCCCAACTGGCACTGATCAAGGACATCAGGCGTCGGGGCAAGAACAAGGTAGCAGCTCAAAACTGCCGCAAGCGCAAACTGGATAGCATAATTCACCTTGAAAGGGAGTTGGGACAGCTGCAGGTTCAAAGAGATGACCTGGTACAACAGAGATTAGAATTCCAGCGTAGCTTGACATACATCAAGTGCCACCTCACTAAACTCTATGCAGAGGTGTTCTCTCATCTGAGAGATGAAACTGGACAACCATATTCAATAGATGAGTACTACTTGCAACAGATGGCGGATGGTCAAACATATCTGGTGCCTCACACAATGATGCACAAGAAAGAATGCTGAAATGTGACCAAGCGATATGGAAATTGTTGGTGTTAGGGTGCCACCTATGGAGCTTTACCATTCAACACATTTCATATTTTATAAGTAAAAACACCATCACTTTATGAAAATAAAATTTATTTGTAAAAAAGGGAAAACATTGGTCTCTCTTAAAAAAAATAAATAAAAGTTGCAGTCATTCTCCAGAGTCCTGCAAGAGAAACACCAGGTCAGAGAATCAACTTTTGCTTCCTTTCAAAATTGGTGAAGCACAAATAAAAGGTCCCAATAACTGGTGTGCGTGATCCATTTTCACATTAAAAAAAAAAAAAAACACAACTAATGTGCATGCATGCATCTTCACCACATGCATATCCAAATAAAAACCATTTCGCCTTTTGCGCGATAGCACTTATACCTGATTTTTTAAATTGTCAGTTATATGAAGTTGGTCCGCTGAGCACAAACTGGTATGGTATCTGAAATGAGAAACAGAGTCAAAATCCTTAAATATGCACTTAACATTTATTCCCAGCATGCAAATATTGTGAGACAAAATGGAATTAGGATCCCCATTTACCAACATTCTTGTGAAAATGTGTTTAATCATTACTGTGCCACACATCTGACTACCACAGCTACATGACAAAGCAAGTTGTACTAGCAGTAGTTGAGAAGTCTGGTCTTACCTACAGGCAGCATTTAAGCCTTTGGTAGCTGCTGCCTTGCTAGCCCCTCAGGCTTCTGTTCTCACTCTCCCCTGCTTCAATGATCCTGGCGATGATTGCTACTTCTCTCCCTCAGCTGGCTTCCATGGCTAGCCTCAAAGACTGCATGTAAGCTAGCATCCCCAGATGATCTGTGTAGCAATCTTGGGTCACGTTTTGTACACACTGCGTCCAACCCTTTTGCACGGCACCTGTCATCCCTCAACCAGTCGAGGACTACTAGATGGATGCTCAGTCATTCGGGTCTGCTCACAGATGTATGCATCAATTCTTACTCCATCCCTCTGCCCAAAACCACTAAAGGAGGCTAACAAGAGTTTGTAAAAAGACTGAAAGGTTGTTTATTTCAGCTCAACTTTGATGCATTTACAAATAAAACCAGAGATTAAGGACAAAATATCTACATAAAACCCTCATTGGAATGCTGACTTTGCAGTAACAGATTAAAAAAAAATAATTACAAAAAGAAGGGGAAAAAAAATCAAAAGACAAAAACGCTTAATTGAAGACCCTCCAAGATTTTTTTTAACTCTAGTATACATCTCTTGCAGCAACAGTAACCTGCCACATGATTGGCTGAGCAGATTTAGGAGGTACACCTGCCGCTGCCCTGTCATTTCCTCTCCTTGCTCTCCTCTTGCTGTCATTTCCTCTCCTAAGTACTCAGCCCTGTTGAACAATACGGAACAACATTGTTAACTGTGTACTGACTTCATACGACCCGAGATCCAGTGTTTTTTTTTTTGTTGCTTTCTTTGTTTAAAAATTGGTATGAGCACTGAAAACGGATCCCTGCGACTACAAAGACTGGAAAGCCAGTGGCCTTAGTATCATACTCACTCCATCACTTCAAAATCGTCCTTGACGTCCATAGCCACTGTTTGAGCTTCCTCCATACCCACCTTAAAACACAATCAATGTGCATTCAGTTTCTATACATGACACAATGGGTACAGTCCATCTAACTACTTACCATAGTTCCTGCCGCCACCACCGCCACCAAAGCTGTTCTTCATTGGGCCAAAGTTAGACGACTGGGAATCATAGTGACCCATGTTGTAGTTGCCACCCCCTCCTCCTCCACAGTGGCCTGCAAAACATATTACCTAGGTATTTTAGAGTCCAAACATATCGGGGTCTCACAAAAGAAACAGCACTTACCGTAACCATTGCTGTCATAGTTATTTCCACCATAGCCTCCACCGCCGCCTCCCTGGTTGTAGCCCTGGTTATAACCGCGACTCCCTCCATTGTTATATCCACCTCCGGGGCCACCTCCATAGCCTAAAAGAAAGTTGCCTTTAGCTTTCAGGACAGTAGTCAAAAGCTGCGTAGGTTAAGTTTAGTCAAAACCAAAGATGACATGTTTACCATCATTGCCGTTGTAATGGCTATCTCCATATCTACCCCTGCTGCCTGGAAGGAGATTGACAGGTCAACAAAAGGCAACATTGGACATTTGCAGCGGTGGACACTGTGCTCACCTTGGTTATAACCTCTGTCATAGTCATAGGGTCTTCCACCACCGCCGCCACCGCCACTCCGACCACCTGAAAATCCTGTTGAAGTATTGCCCAAGGGTTAGCAAGGTATGCCATGCCCAGATGATGCATGCTGTAGAAGCAGCGAGTACCTCCTCGCATTCCTGAGGACTGCATATCCTGCCGTGGGAGGGCCTTTCTGACTTCACAATTGTGGGAGTTAATGGTATGATATTTCTGAACTGCAGAGACACAAACAATGCAGGTTAAGTGTGCAGCCATTTTCGTAATCATTCCTAACCGCAGACAATTGCACTTACTGACGATCCTGTCGACTGCATCATGGTCATCAAAAGTCACAAAAGCAAAGCCTCGCTTCTTTCCAGTATTACGGTCATTCATAATTTCAATGACTTCAATCTTGCCAAATTGCTGGAAATAGTCACGCATATGTTGTTCCTCAGTGTCCTCCTTAATACCCCCAACAAATATTTTCTTCACTGTTACATGAGCACCTGGTCGGTTGGAGTCCTGCAAGAGGAGACATCAATCAACCCACATCCTCACGCCATCTATCGATCAGACCAAAACCACAAACATTGTAATACTACAGGTTTTTACCTCTCTGGAGACAGCACGTTTGGGTTCAACCACTCTTCCATCCACCTTATGGGGACGGGCAGCCATAGCAGCATCGACCTCTTGCACGGATGAGTAGGTGACAAAACCAAAACCCCTGGATCTCCTATTGTTGGAATCTCTCATGACCTGCGTGGAAGAAGAGATCATTCTAGAGTACCCCTGAGAAACTGAAAACAACATCATTACAACTAATTCACCTACCACGCAATCAGTAAGACTACCCCATTGTTCGAAATGGGCTCGTAAGCTTTCGTCTGTGGTCTCGAAGCTCAACCCTCCGATGAACAACTTACGAAGCTGCTCTGGTTCACGTGGAATCTACACAAAAGGAGACAGTTAGCCATGAGTCAACATACTGCATGGCGACAGCGTTCTACAAGATGTATGCTCAGAGTAACATTGATCCTCTGCGCTGCTTTATTTCAGCGAGTAAATAAAACACATCGGAATAAACAGCCAAGGTTCCACGGTGCAGTCAAGCACTGGGTGGGGGAGGGCGACGTCGCCGCCATTACGCCACAGCACTGTAGCAGTAGGCTAATGTGTCGATGATGAATAGTTACTGCCGAAACCACTGGCAAATCATTACCTAGTACAACTACAGTTTGTTTTATTAATTTCCGATATGCCTGAAACAAATCACAAACATCGTCAATTACAACCACTTGTAAGTCACACGAACAATAGACCACGAGACTGGGGCTCTTGTAAAATGGCGGCGCTGCAGTTCGTGTCGCGTATTTAATAGGAGTAAAGTCGCCCAAAAATATAGCTAGCCAGCTGGTCTGTTTGTAGCCTTCTATGTAATAACAACGAGGTACTCACATCTTTAGACATCTTGCAGAACAATTTTAGGAGACACGCGGAAATTTCACTGAGAACGGTGAACTGCGTCAGGCAAGCAAAGACTGCCCCTCAACAGTACAATAAATAGTAACAGATCCACCTCTTTGACTCAGCGATTGGTCAGCGATTCCCGCTGCGCTTGATGTCACTTAAACAAGGGTCTTCATTGGACAAAAGGCCGTCAATCGTAAATAACATCCAATCGCAAAGGTGGTAGGCGTTGGCGTTTTTGGCGGACGACGCAAATATGCGTCTCTTCAAGTATATTCAGTGTCAATTTTGTAAAATGTATCATTTTACTCACATACCACACCAGTACAAATACCGACACATTATTTTTCAAATAGGTCTAATCTATTTCATTTGCGATGCACTCAACGAAATTCATTTGAGACATTTGGGTTGGTGTGGGGATACGCACTTAGCTGTTATGAGTGTTTATGTCGGTGTCTACCACCTACCATCTAACATCAGCAGTGTTCGAGCGATTTTTCCCCTTGACTGACGCATTAATCACCGATCTTAGATTGATGATGATAATAAATGGACGACAGAACGCTTGAAAAGGTTGTAAGGGACGGTGACTGGAGCGGCCAGCGAATGTGGGTCACAAGCTGACTGAGGGGCGGAGACGTTCATTGTGAGCTTGAAGGCGCGCTTTTCACGCACTGGGACGAGCAAGCGCACAGTACCTATCTGTGGTCTCGGCTACATGCTAAATTAGCCTCCAGAAGCAAGCATTTCCCCCCCTTACAATCGGTCCAAACGGATGCTCGTCGCGATCACGCGGTAAGCAAAATAGTAAGCATCATGGCGGAGAGCATGGGTGGAACTACCCCTATGTTGATGTGGCGCTTGGTTTGTTGGCGAAGAGCTAGCGCGCAGGCAAACTGTGGTAGCACGTTTGCCTTGCTGTGCCCATTGAATAGCGAGCTAGCATGGTTGCATTCTTATTTTACGTCTTGGTGACGGCAATGCAGGCGATTGCTATTTTTGCTGCTAGGAAGAGATATAAAAATGTCGTTTTATCCGATGCTCGGGTCCTTGTATTTCCGCCGATAAAACAAATGCCCGTAATACTTGTTATCGTAATGCTACCCCAGAGCAGAGTTAGCCTATTTTTTCAACTTAGTTCTATTTCTAAGTCCTGTTTATTTTCCTTCTTCCTTAGTACTTATGCGTTCCATAATGTTTTATATTATTGATCCCGCCTGTAACCGGTCAATTTCTCCGCTATGGGATCAAGAAAGTATTGGTCTTTCTGGTAACCAGAACAGCATCATATATATTTTTTTTTGTAAGCCACTCTTGGTGTTTCAAATTTAATTTTTCATTTTCAGGAAGTGCGCCTTCAAGTGAACATCGTCTAAAGCTCTCTGCTAACCACCATTGCAATGGGCAAAAAGTCTCGGGAAGACGACTCCTCATCATCGGATGAAGAAGAGTATGTCGTGGAGAAGGTGCTGGACCGGAGGGTGACGAAAGGAAGGGTCGAGTTTTTTCTAAAGTGGAAAGGATATTCAGAGTAAGTTTTGTTGCCTCTTCCACAAAGGTACACACAAACGAACAACAGGTGTGATTTAAAGGGGCTGTGTATGAGGAATTGAATTACAACTGTGTTTTTGGGTGGTGAGACCATAAGTGAATTGGTACCAGCTAGGGTCCACAAATCACTTTCTATAGGTTGTATAATAAAAGTGCATACCACATACATGTTTGGCCCAACAAAACAAACCCAATTGAGTGAAACTCCCTACCATAGCCCTGTGTCAATATAAAGCCCTGAGACAAGAAAATTCAGCCTGTACAACACTGACCAGCGAAAGCTTGTAAGTGTTTGAATGCAGCCGAATGTTGTCAGGGTTTATTACAAGGTTGCAAACTGTTGCAAAGAGTTAGCCTCATAAGCCTTCGCCTCTCAGTGTAAGATGTTTTTTTTTTTTCTTGATTCGTGTCTGTATTGGCCCCGACTCACCTTGTTGTGATTTGCTCTCAGTAAGCACAACACATGGGAACCAGAGAAGAACCTGGACTGCCCAGAGCTCATTTCGGAGTTTATGAAGACTTACAAAAAAAGTGGGAGCTCTACTCCAAGTTGTGGAGCCAGCAAGCCCAGCACAGCCCCTTCAGGACGTGTGAAAGACTCGGGTAGCTCAAAGAAGAGGAGCTCGGACGACGATGATGACGATGAGGGGGCAAGCAAACCTAAAAAGAAAAAGGAGGTAATAACTGCATCGTCACTGTTGTGAAGTTCGGCACTGGTTCTGATTTCCTTATATGATGGGAAAATATTTATTCCTATTTAACTAGCTACAGAAGATTTTCCCCCATGTAAAGTATTTGTTTTGTTTTATATTTCAGGAAGAAATTCTAGTGGCCCGTGGCTTTGAGAAGGGCCTTGAACCAGAGAAAATCATTGGAGCAACAGACTCGTGTGGTGATTTGATGTTCCTAATGAAGTGGTATGTGTTAAGTTTGCTTGCTCATTTCAGTACAGCTTTTATGAGTCCATATTATCCATGAGCTTGTTCTGTTCAAACACATGTTACATCTGTCTTTCTTCATTGCTTATGTTTTATAGTTTCCTTTTGCTTCTCTACACCAACATTGTCACACAGTTGATAAATTTGGCGATGATGGTGTGATGCCTTGAATGATTAAGGGTCACAAGGGCTGTCACGAAGGAATCTTTTTGGAATCGATTATTCTATTGATTATTCCTTTGATTACTCGAGTTGCACACCGACACACACACATACACCATAAATCCATTCTCGACCACTTATCCGGGGTCAGGTCGCGGGGCGAAGCCCAGACTTTCCTCTCCCCAGCCACTTCTTCCAGCACTTCCCGGGGGATCCCAAGGCGTTCCTCGGCCAGCTGGGAGACATACTCTCTCCAGCATGTCCTGGGTCGTCCTCGGGGTATCCTATCAGTGGAATATGCCCGGAACACTTCACCAAGGAAGCATCCTAATAAGATGCCCGAGCCACTTCATCTGGTTCTTCATGACATGGAGGAGAAGCAGCTCGACTCTAAACCCCTCCAGCATGACCGAGCGTCTCACTTTATCTATAAGGGAGAGCCCGGACACCCTGCGGAGGAATCTCATCTTGGCCGCTTGTATCCAGGATCTCGTTGTTTTGATCACGACCCCATAGCTCGTGACCATAGGTGAGCACAGGAACATACAGCTAAATCGAGAGCTTCGCCTTTTGGCTCAGCTTCTTCACCACGACAGACTGCTCTACCTGTCTCCCGCTCCATCCCGCCTTCAATTGCGAACAAGACCCCAAGATCCTTCAAATCCACCACTTGGAGTAAGATCTCCTCCCCCGACCCAGAGAGGGCGCTCCAGCCTTTCCTGACTGAAGAACATTGTTTCAGATTTGGAGGTGCTTATTCTCATCCCAAACGCTTCACACTTAGCTGCAAACTGTTCCAGTGAGAGTTAGAGATGCCGGCTTGAAGTAGCCAGCAGCACCACATAATCTGCAAAAATCAAAGATGCAACACTGAAGTCACCAAACCGGACACCCTTAACGCCTCGGCTGTGGCTAGAAATCTGTCCATAAAGGTTATGAACAGAATTGGTGATAAAGGGCAGTGTCCAACCCTCACTGGAAACGAGTGTCCCACTTACTGCCAGCAATGCGAACCAAACTCTGACGTCGGTTGTATAGGGACCGAGCAGCCCTTATCATGGGGTTCGGTAAAGCATACTCCCAAAGCACCCCCTACAGAACTCACAGAGGGACACAGTCGAACGCCTTCTCCAAGTGCACAAAGCACATGCAGATTGGTTAGGCAAACTCCCATGCACCCTCAAGGACCCTGCTAAGGGTTTAGATTTGGTCCACTGTTTCACGGCTGGGATGAAAACCACATTGCTCCTCCTGAATCTGAGGCTCGTCTTCCTGATGGACCCTCCTCTCCAGCACCCCCTGAATAGACCTTACCAAGGAGGCTGAGGAGTGTAATCCCTGTGGTTCCCGTTCTTAAAAAGAGGGACCACCACCATCCCAGTCTGCCAATCCAGAGGTACTCTTCCCGATGACCATGTGATGTTGCAGAGGCGTGTCAACCTGGACAGCCCCACAACATCCAGTGCCTTGAGGAACTCCGGGTGGATCTCATCCACCCCTCTGGCTTTGCCATCGAGAAGCTTTTTAACCACCTCGGTGACTTCAACCCCAGAGATAGGAGAGCCTGCCTCAGAGTCCCCAAACTCTTCTTCCTCTAATGAAGGCGTGTTGAGGAGGTCCTCGAGGTATTCTGCCCACCAACTGACAGTGTCCATAGTCCAGGTCAACAGCACCCCATACCCACTATACACAGTGTTAATGGAGCACTGCGCCCCACTCCTGGGACGTTGGATGGTGAACCAGAATTTCCTCGAAGTCAGGCTCACTGAGCCCTTCCTGTGTTCCGGTTGGCCATCCAGTACCCCTCAGCCACACTCACACACTGCCAATTTATTTTTATATATTTTTTTGTCAAATGTTGGACAATGATAATCACGCCTCTACAAATAACACTCAAGTTTGCCAAGGTTTATGTTACGATGTACGTATATTAACACTATTCTCACTTAAAAATATTTTGATTTCAATTTTCGTGAAAGCCATCATCTGCTGTTGTGCTTGCTGTTTCTCACGGGTGTCTTCTCCAATGGCCCCCTGTAGATGCTAGGACTGAAGAAAAAAAAAGAAATACTGGAATGAAGGACGTGACAGCAGATAGTAGTTGTTTGTATTAACTTTTATTATCCATCACAAACGCGGCTGCTGTGGGCTGTAGCCAACACCAAAACAGAAAACAGCCAGAAGCACACGAACAAAGTCCTCAATAAAGTCTGCTGACTCCACTGCTGTCACAGTCACTCCTCCCCTTCTGTGAGTCGCAGGATGCTTTCAAAAACACTTGGAAATAGAATTGCTCAGCAAAAACCGATCATGACGTTAACCACCAACAACACTCATAATCCAATTTATTACAAGAAAAGTTCCAGCCGTGACTGAAACGCTTGCTCTTTATTTATTTATTTTTTGTTCACATTTCCCACAATGCTCGCATCACCGTACTCTCAGGATCATCACTGCTCAGCCCCTA